CGAGTGCTACATGATCGCTTGGAACTCGATTAGACTTGTACAGAGAACGGTTATATAGATTGAGGGGGAGGAGTGGTATGATAGGGTAAAGAGGACACAGGGAAGGAAGAGGCGGGTGGGTTGGTAATGGTGGTAAGAAGGGCTAGTATGTATTATAGCATCTGCTTCCTATATAGCTAGAGTTAGCTAGCTAGCTCTAACCAGCTAGCTAGCTATGTAACTCATTTAGGATTATGTTGAATCTTCTATCGCCCTTGTAATCTTGACCCTCCCTTAACCCTCCTCAACCTCTCCTCCTTCGACCTATCTAACGTTGAAAACTTAGTACATATTCTCCTTTATGTAAAATCTTTGATGCATTTATTAATGATCAATGCATGCCTGTTTAAGGATCAATCGTTGTACATCTCTTTTATTATGTTTCTTTTTTCTAATGTTTTATTTTTTTTTTTTCTTTTTTTTTTCTTCTTCTTTTAAGTTTCTTTCAGACTAATTTTTTTCCTCATTTCTTTTGTTTTGTTTGTGTCTTTTTCGCAGATTGCAAAATTGCAAGACCAAATTAAAGGCTTGAAAAAATTTTCGAAAAATCTCTAATTGATTATTAATATCGTCTAAAGAAATCGTCTGACTTGTTTGAACAATTTTTTGTCTGTCCTGTATAATAGACGTGATTTTCAATTAAAAAAAAAAAAAAAAAAAAAAAAAATACATATAGACATTCTTCATTGTTAGAAATAAAATATAGAAAATTTCGACAAGTCTTATTGGTCTACATATCCAATAACGAATGCCAATAACGAACGATTTCGTCAAATATTAATACCTTTTTCTTTTTTATTTCTCTCTCTTTCTCTCAAAACCTTAATTGTATTTATTCCGTATAATCGTCATAGTAAGATCCCTGGGTTTTTCTTTTATTTTTTTTTATTTTTTTTATTTTTTTTTTTTTTTATTTTTCCTTTGGTTTTTACGAGGTAGTCAATCCCAACGACAATACCTGGCATCTATGGTGGTGCGAAACGAGCGATGCTAGACAGATACTAGATTCGAAATTGGAAGCCCATCAAAAGATACCACATTTTCGTAATCATTACGAGTTAACACGAAAGAATTATCTTTGTCGTAACTTGAAACGTTATAAGAAGCTTTTAACAAAGTCCGGAAAGCAAGCAGAAGCGGAACTTTGTGATTCGATGCCGATAACTTTCGAACTGCCAAGCGAATACAGGATGTTCGTCGAGGAATATCAAAGACAGCCTGGTTCAACTTGGATCGTTAAACCAGTCGGTAGATCCCAAGGTAAGGGGATCTTTCTTTTTCGAAGATTGAAGGATCTGATTGATTGGAAATCTTCAAGAATCGAAAAGCAACAATCCGAAGGTCCAATAGAAACATTCGTTGTTCAGAAATACATCGACAATCCGTATCTTCTGGCAGGTTAGTCGAATTAATATACATTCATTCACCTTTTTTTCCTTTCTTTTTTTTTTTTTTTTTATTCTCAAAGCATTCGTTGCATTTTCCAAAAGAAAAAGAAAAGAAGAAAAAGAGAAAACCATCTTCGTTGAGTGCAATTTTTTTTTTTTCCTTCAATTTCTTTGATGATAATAATCATCTTAGATGATTATGACGAACAACGTTATACATACCATAACGTATTTATATGCACCATAAACAATAACGTCAAGTAAGAATATTGTTGTTTATCAAACATTATTAGTTCATCAATTTATTTTACTCTCTTACTATAAAAAAAAAAAAAATCTTAATAATAATAATAATAATAATCTAAAAAGCATCAATGTTTTCTGTCAAAGAAAGATATACGTACGTATTTTAACACCTTAAAGTATACACTATAGAATATACATAAATAAGTGTATACATTCGCTAGTAGTTCATCCATTTTTCGATTCATCGTGATGGCTCTCGTAAAGAAGAGAGCTATCTCCGAAGTGAAATCCATAGACGTTGGTTGTACTGCTAGTGGCATCGATGAAAAACAAGGATGGAGAATAAGAGGATATGTGAGAAAGAGCTTGGATCTCAGCCGACTCATTCATTCACTCACTCACTCACTCACTCATTCACTCTCTCTCTCTCTCTCTCTCTCTCTCTCTCTCTCTCTCTCTCTCTCTCTCTCTCTCTCTCTCTCTCTCTTTCTTTCTCTTTCAAAAGATGTTTCCGTACTATTCGGCTAAAAATCAACTCTACGTATATATAGTAGATTCACTTCTATGGGAATAGCTTTTGCTGTCTTTTTCTATAATCTCTCTCAAGAGAGAACCATCTAAAAATATCTTCTTTATACACGCTTCTTCGTTTCTTCTCTTATCCCCCTCATCCTCCCATTTTCTCCCTCTCTTTCCCTCTTTCTCTCTCTCTCTCTCTCTCTCTCTCTCCCTCTCTCTCTCTCTATTTACCTATCTATCTCTTCTTCTTCCTTCATTTTCTTTCAGGACGAAAGTTCGACCTACGTATCTACGTACTGGTAACGTCCTTTCATCCCTTGAAGGTCTGGCTAGCGAGAGAAGGTTTTGCACGTTTATCCAGCCAGCTATTCGATCTGAAGAACATCAATGATAATAGAGTTCATCTGACCAACATGGCGATACAATTGAAAAGATCCAAGGAAGATGAACGTATGAATAATGGATCATTGAAAGATAATATAAAACGTTCCTGCAAATGGGCGTTAATTAAATTCAGAGAATATTTGACCGCTCGGCATGGAGTTTCTATCGTAGAAACGGTCCTACAACGTATAGCTGGTAAAAATGATAATTATTATTACTTTTTCTTTTTTTTTTTTTTTTTTTTTTTTTTTTTTCTTTTTTCTTTCTAAAGCTTCGATAAAGTAAATTCCAAAAATTCAATTGATATACAAAATTAGAAGGATATAATTGAGAAGAGCAGATAGATGGGAAATTGTAATGGCAAGGTTTAATTTAAAAAATAATTTTACATTTTTATTTATGAAACGAGAAAAAAAACAAGAGAGGAAAAAAGAAAAAAAGAAAAAAGAAAGAGTTTCCCATAATTTTCCATTTCATGAGGATCGTACGGGTGAGATTTACAACCATGATTCGGAGTTTTACGGCTTAGATAAAAAAAAATGAAGAAAAAAAAAAAAAAAAAAAGGGAAAAAAAAGGAAAAAAAGAAAGAAAATAAAGAAAGAAAAAAAAAATAAGAAGGAAAAGAAGAGGAAACAGATTTTGAGCATAAAAAAAAAAGAAAAATGATTTCTTACGTTCGCATAAAACGTCACTACTAGAATATCGTATAAAAATTCGAGAAATGTTGAACAACAAGCCTCTCATAAAACTAACTGAAATCAAATCTAACACATCGAAAAACAGTCATCCTTGTTTCAACGTACAATTTTACTACATCCTAAAAACTCGACGGCATTATATTCTGCCATTATACCCCTGCTACTACTTTGAAAATTTCTCGAGACTTTAGAAGAGACTAGAGAAAAAGAAAAAAAAAAAAAAGAAAATAAAATAAAAAAGATCTGCAAAATTTTTCATTTCTCAAAAGTATTCTCAAAAGATTTCTCAAAAGATTCTCAAAAGATTCTCAAAAGATTCTCAAAAGATTTCTCAAAAGATTCCTCAAAAGATTCCTCAAAAGATTTCTCAAAAGATTTCTCAAAAGATATATCTTCCTTAAAGATTGACAGAGATATTTACGTTTGAGACTTGTCCAAAATTTTTCAAGTTTTGTTTCATTATTTCGAGTAAAGAAGTATCCTTCCTCCCCCCCTAAGCTTTCTAATTCTAAACCATACTTTCTAATTCTAACGTCATAGTAAATCTAACGTAGTTATCTATCTATCAAAGAAAATTGAATGAATTTTATTTGGCATTGTGTCTGACGTGTCTGTCGCAACAATCTTATTATTAATTACTTGCGAACAACAATCAAAGAGGTGAGATCAGATTTTTTGCTTTCTTCATTATCCTTTCTAACGTCTACTGTTACACGAAGGCATAGAGTTGTGGTTTTGTTGTTGTTCGTTTCATTTAAGAAAGCGACATAATAATAGATCCTCGTCATTAAAAATAATTAACAGGAAGAATAAAAATCTATCGTCTCCGTAAAGACAGCAACAGAGCAGCAACAGTAGCAGCCGGTTTTAGACCGTCGTAACAACAGAAGAATGTATAATTTTACGATGGGTCAATAATTATCTCTCCCGGCCCCACCCTCCTTTCTCCACGCCCTCACTCCAGCAATCAAAAAATCGAATCATTTAAAGATTCATGGAATATTCATGAAATAAGATGGCTCGTTTCGGTTTTTCTTTTTTTTTTTCCTTTTTTCTTTTTTTTCAATAACCTTACAATAATATCCCATCGGACGATTATAAATATAACCTTTAAATATATTACATCGATTCGTTGTATTTCAAATTGATTCATTTATTTTTCTTTTTTCTTTTTCTTTTTTCTTTCCTTTTTTGTTTTTTTCTCTACTTTGCAATATTTGTAGTCAAATTACGATTCGTAGAACGAACGGAAAATTTTTCACGTCTATTCACGTCTCTATATTGCGAAAGAAAATCAATTGAAATTTAATTGAAAGTTCTTACTTGAACGTAGGAGTATTGTGATTCATTTGTTTGATAATATAGTCAATTGCCGATATCTGACTATACAAATGTTTGAAAATTGATTTAAGTATATATATCTAGAAAAATATCAGAGTTCATTTGATTTGATTGAGGGCCATCTCTTCAAATAGAGTTTTATTCTGGATTAGAAAGATTCTTTTTAAACCATTAGTGACAAAATCTAGAGAGAGAGAGAGAGAGAGAGAGAGAGAGAGAGAGAGAGAGAGAGAGAGAGAGAGAGAGAGAGAGAGAGAGAGAGAGAGAGAGAGAGAGAGAGAGAGAGAGAGAGAGAGAGAGAGAGAGAGAGAGAGAGAGAGAGAGAGAGAGAGAGAGAGAGGGAGAGAGAGAGAGAGAGAAAAGATAAGCATAAAGATCCTAGAACACACACACACACACACACACGTATATATATATTTGTATATAGCTAGATGTGAACCGGTTGGAACTATTATAAAACCAAGCCTGTTTCCATCACGCAGGAGTAATAATGGCGAGTCTGCTAGCCGTGCAACCGGTGATGATGCAAGGTAGGAACTCGTTCGAGCTCTACGGTTACGACGTGATCCTCGACGAGAGTCTGACACCGTGGCTTCTCGAGGTGAACGCCTCGCCCTCTTTAAGTGGCACCGACACCGAGGATTATCGTCTCAAGTTCGATCTCATCGACGATGTCCTCAACATCATCGATCTCGAGCGTCGTTTTACAGGCAGAGAAACCAGGATCGGTGGCTTTGATCTAATTTGGTTTAACGATGGACCAGTATGGACGACCATTGCGAATTCATCAATTTGCGGACAAAATCGATATTTCGTTAAAAAATTGAACGTATTCTTGGGCGCAAGAAATGATCGTATCAAACAATTATACCGATTGCACGAGATATTGAGGGAGATTAAGGAGAGTAAAGGAAATATCGAAATGGAGAATTTCCTTTGTGAAAATCTTTAAAGGAAAAAAAAAAAAAAAAAAAAAAAAAAGAGAGAGAGAAAAAGAAAGGACGAAAAAAACGAGGATAATAAAGTCGACCGATTAAATGTGTCAATTAAGGAACTTTAATATTTAAATAAGGAACTTTATAACTATATTTAAAAACTTTCGAAGTTATCGTATTACCTAACAACGTAGATAAACGATTTCCATCGTATTCTTCAAGATTTATTCGATGTATCCATGTCGAAAAATATGTTTTGATCTTGAAAATATATAAATGTCGAACGTATCATATATATATAGATACTATCTACGGTAAGGATCTATCGTAAACTCGGTGCTCGAAGTAAATGTGGCTCGTATAAAATCTTGAAAAAATAAACTCCTTAGAACTAGAGAGATCTTTTTCTTTTTTCTTTTTTCTTTTTTCTTTTTTTTTTTTTCCTTTCTTTTATACATTAATATATAGGATGTAAATCGATTTCTTTCACATTAAAAGATCTTCATTGCTATATATTCGAACAGTATTTTTATTAATTGATGATAAGTATTTTGGAAAATAAATGGTCAGTACATACATACATACATACATACATACATACATACATAATATATATACGAATGAATAATATATGTAAATGTGTATATATATATATATATATATATATATATATATATATATATATATATATATACATAAACATGAATATATAATTAGGTATGAATAATTAAACGTTAGTTATATTACCATTAATAATTAAGCGTAAGTTTATATATTTATATATTTATATATATATATATGTGTGTGTGTGTGTGTGTGTGTGTGTGTGTGTGTGTGTGTGTGTGTATGTGTGTGTGTGTACACCTATATACATACATTCATACATACAAATATATTAATACATACATATGAATATATATGTTAAGTATGAATAATTAAACGTCAGTTATATACTGATATTTCATTATAAATATCAATTATTTATTTAAAGTACAAATTGAAACTTTTTTTTTTTTTTTTAAACCACTGAATCAATCATAATAGCAATCGAAGATCTTAGACTAAAATTCATACTTCTTTTATATCTATAAAAATTATCATTTTGTATTATATATTACAAACTTGTTTTCGAATTCATTCGATTATTAACGATTGATCTAATTCTATTTTTATTTAATTATTTTTTTTTTTCTTTCATTCACCTAATACTCAAACTATCTTTATCGATCTAAGGAAACAGGTATTCTCCTTCCCCTAAAATTTGTTTCGAGGTAATATTTCACTAGTCTCGACACGCTATTGATTCGTCAGCGTTTCGTCTTTCTCCTCTAATTTAATTTCATCTCGCATCACATAAACACACACACACAAACACACAAACACACACATATATACATATACATACTTTGAACAACCATATACAGAGGGGGGGAAGGCCAGTGCAATGTAACAGCAACTACGACAGCTGGATGGAACTAACGAGCAAGAATTAGCTCAACGTTGCTACGAGGAAGGGTCTTCCATTCTGTATCAAATTTATGCATATTCATCCGTCCAACAAATTCGTTCCGCTTCCATAAATCTCTCCTTTTTTTTTCATCGTTCGATTTTTTTTTCTTTTTCTTTTTCTTTTTTTTTTTTTTTTTTTTTTTTTTTATACATCGACTCACAGCGAACTAAAAAAAAAAAAAGAGAGAGAAAAAACAGATACGTAGAATTAAATTTGATCGCCGTCCAGTTCATAGTTCATCGTGAAAGAACTGTAATCTCTGGATTGCGTCTGGTTTGATTCTATCATATTCCCCCACCCCCCACCACCCCACCTGCCCCGCCCTGCACCTTACACCGACTTGTACCGTAGTCCAAAAAAATATAAGGATTAAATTGGATAATTATTTATTGTATAGTTCGGCTTAAAAAAAAAAAAAAAAAAAAAAAAAAAAAAGAAA